TCACTTCTTGAAGGCATTTTCCTTTGAACCACATTTCGTGGGCATGAGGTGCTCCCTTCTGCCCTGATAGCGCCCAGAGTCACCTCACCAAAGCCCTTGCATTATTACATTGAAATAGTAGGTTTCATGCCTGCTCCTCACCCCATTAGACTGTTAAACTGGAGATGAAGATTGCATTTTGCAGACATTTATCTTGGAGTTTGACACAAAGTTGACTGTTCTGATGATTAGGTCTCCCTCACAGAGTAGGGATGCATGGAGGTCTTCTCCGGTTGGGCTTGGATAAGTACAAGGCAGGAAAGCAGGCACAAAGCATTGACTTAGCTGGAGGCCATGAGCCACATTTGTGGAAGGAGCACTGAATGAGGACCTGTTGTGTCAGTCCCTTGCCTTCTAAAGGGGATGCAAAGACCCCTGTCCAGCTGATGCCGTAGTTTGGGGACTGACAAGGTTTGAAATCTACCTGGTTGGGCAAGTGATATAACCTGTGTTTGTTTCCTCTTTCATAAAATGGGTTCAACAGAACCTATTTCTCAGGCTTGCTGTGAGGCTTAAACCTAAGTAAAACACTTAAGATGGGAACTGGCACATAATCAGTGCTCTCAAGATGGGCAGTGAATTCCTTCCCATTTGTGCAGCAAAATGTGGGCAAGTCTCCTGGGCTTCTTCCATTTAGCTTCCTGGGAGAATTAACAGGATCAGAATGGATGGGAAGGTACAATCACAGTCCCTGCAGAGCTGTTCATTTAAACCAAAATAACAGCTTATGCTGCTTAGTAGGTACCGATGACCTGCCAAGCACCGTGCTAAACACTTCTCTATTCCTTCAGTCCCATCAGCAGCATGTGGCCGATATGCCCATTTTACAGATCAGAAAAAGGAGGCTCAAAGAGGTATGGAAGGGGTGGCCAAGGCCATCCTAAGATTTTCCAGTCGATGGTCGGGACACTGCATCTCTGTTCCGGTGGAGTTTTTCTGGCCATGGGGGGAGGGAGGAAGTCTCTCCCCGTTAAAGGAAACTGGGAAGAGGAGAGCGAAGTGAGAGGCCAAGGAGGCAATGCAGAGCTGGTGTTAGAGGGAAGAGACCAGTCCTTGGAGTGGGGGAATTATCTCTTGGTGTGCCCATGCCACTCCCTTGTTTACTGAAACTCCTGCTCTTTTGCTTTCTCTTTCTCTTCCACTTCCTCGTGTGCTTCTTGTATTCATCTTGAGAAGTGCTGTGGGAAAGGCTGGAAAGAGGAGCAGGATGGCTCTAAAGGCCACTGGGAGGGTTGGAAGAGAGTCTTGGAGCCCATTGCCTCATCAGAAGAATTTGCAAGGTTCCCTGGGACCCCTGCACATGCTTGAGAAACGGGTAGATCAGGCATTAAGGAGATACTGTGGGTCGCTGGTACCAACCTGTGAAATAGGCTTTGTGGATACAAGCAACAGCCCTCAGCAGTGTTTTTCAGACTGAGATTCATTCCAGTAGTGGGTCATGAAATCAATTTAGTGGCGTGCAACCTGCATTAAAAAAACCAAAACAAAAGAAAAATATATATATAAAAAAAACCAAGATGAAAAAAAAAAACAATAGAAAGTTAAAGTCACATCACTCTTAGAAAAGGTAAATATTATCTTGTGTACAGATGTGTATTGGGTCATGAAGGCAAATGTACTTCTTACTGTAGGTCATGTTAAAATAGAAATTACTGTCTTAGGGCAAAAGTTTTATAATCTGCTAGCCTGATTAGAATCTTGATCTGCCGCTTGCATCAAAGTTCAGTTTATCTGTGAAATGAGAATATTAAAACCTACCTTGTATTTTGTGAGAATTAAGCGAGAAAATGCATGTAGTGTTCACAGCCTGTGCCTCATGGTACGTGTGCTCCAGTGATGTGGCAGAGCCTGCTCACAACAGCTAATTGTGGTATTTCTTTGCAACCCTGTTCAGGGACATCACAGTGGTAGCTTGAAACTGGCCACAGTGAAAGTATCTACATCACTGAAATCAACAAATGCTACAAATCAGGGTTTTTTTTTATTGTTTTCTCTTTTCCCCTGGGAGCTGGTTGTTAAACACTTAACAGTTAATCACTGGTGCTAACCATTCGTCCTTGAAAGAGCCTGTCCAATTGGGATAGACATGAATTGAGCTGGATTCAAATGATAGTAATGTTTGGAGGGAAAGGATTAAATGAATTTTTAGATTTGGGGGGAAGTTCCAAGAAGACATTTGCGTTCTCTACCCATAGACCATGTTTCACTTATTTGATGTTTATCCAGCACCCACAGTGGACTGTCTTGAGCATTAAACACACTGCTTGACTTTTAAGAGCTAATAGTAAAATGTGAGTGCTGGAAGGTAAATAATCCAACCCCAGGTTCTTTTTTCTTTTCTTTTTCTTTTTATAAAGATGACCGGTAAGGGGATCTTAACCCTTGACTTGGTATTGTCAGCACCACGCTGTCCTAAGTGAGCCACGGTCCGGCCCCAACGCAAGTTCTGATTACAAACGCCCAGGGAGAGATTTCAGGCTTCTTGTCCATATGTTGGGGCCCTGGAGTGTAGCATGTGCATCTGATGCCTCGGCCCTGCGCAGTAGTTCAGGGCTGGACTGCCTCTCCCGTGCGGCGGTTGCTCGGCCTCGCGCACGGTGGCACCGGCTCTCAGCACGCGGTACGGTTTCTTGCAAGCACGAGGCACTGAGTTGGGCCGAGACGACCCACGGATGAATGTGGCGCGCCTCCCTGCCTACAGGGGACTTCCAGTTTAGCGTGGCTCTGCTTAAATGTCACAACCGACCCGACGTTTACAATTTCATCGCAGAAGCGGGTCCATTATGGCAAAGTGACCTGCCCACGTCCTGTTAGGCAGGGCTTGGACCAAGACACAGCAATGGCCCTGCGAGTGAACTGGGCAGCTTCAGGCTTGACAACCCCGAGTGGGAGTCCGGGCGGCAGGTTCCCCGTCCCTCGACTAGGGCGGAGGTGTCGCCTTCCTTCTCCCATGAAGGTGTCCCAGGGCGCAGAGCCCGGGGGGGTG